TAGGTTGAGGAGGGTGAGGGGGAATTAGGGTGGGATTTGAGGTGATGAGAGGGGCTGGGGCTGGGGATTGGGATGGTGGGAGTGGGTGGGAGTGGGATGGAGAGGTGTTGGGTGAGATGTGTTTTGATTGATACTACTTTCTCCCAATTCTTTGTAATTGTGAAGTGGGTTTTGCTTTCCGGGATATTGAGGTTGTTGAGTGAGATGGAGAGAGCGAGATTTTGGTTCAGTCACTGGAGTGGAGTGGAGTGGAGTTTGTTTGTTTGTTTATTTGTTGGGAATCGTGGGTTGATGTTCAGTGGATTTATCTGGGAATGTGACGCTGTAGAACTTGTGGTTGGTTTGTTTTGGTGGGATGTGGTGGAGTGGGAGGATGGGTATGATGCGATTGGGGAGTGGTAAATGAGAAGTTGAGTGAAGAGGTAATAGAAGGGTGAACCTCTTGAGGGAGGTATTTTGTTGTGGAGGAGGTGAAGATGAAGGTGAGTTTAATTGTATAACATGGTCTGAGTGTACTTCATACTGTGAGGTTTTTGTTGTCATACTTGCGGTGGGTGTATGTGGGTTGTTTTGGTAATGCGATATTAGTAGGTCAGACAATCTCTGGAACTCGCTTCGCTTATGCTACTGTAAATGGGGGAAGAAACCAAGCTCAGCTTTTCTATTGAGAACTGCTACGACAATAGCAATGGGAACATCAATCATCTGTTTGGCAGCCTATCTTTCTTGCATTGCTCATTCCAAAGGAATTCATACATGGAGATGGGTATGAAATAATATATGTACGAGCCTCCTAGTCTAACAACGGTTAATTCACTTTTAAATTCTTCACTTCTGTTGATACCAATGTTGGAAGATTGTTGTCCCGTGACTTTTGGCTGCTTTTTACCTTATGTGGATACACTAGCGTGTAATTTTGAATCCTGCGTGCTGCCGATTTGTATCTTGCAAATTGACCACACATCAAAATAAACACTCTTGTCAACGACAACACCACGACCGACCACCACGACCGACCACCACGACCGACCACCACGACCGACCACCACGACGGACGACGACAACCGACCACCTTCCACCACCCAACATTTACAACTTCTTTTCAGTTGTTTGCGCTTGTGTGCAACAACATCATTGTGTCGCATTAACGCTTTGTTGCCTTGCACCATAAGCTTGATCTCAACGTGTTCGCCCTGAAGGCCTCGCTTGCTTCGCGTCAACCTGTTGCTCGAGGATTGCACCTTCCGTATCTATAATCCATTGAGAGAGCCTTGACCACGCGGCCACCCTTTTTGTCTGTGTGCGAATCACTTTCTCGATCTCGCTCTCGATCTGAATTACGATATCGCAAAATCGCAATATCGTCAGTCGACCTGCGACCGCGAGCGGCATCAAAATTTGCGACCGTACAAATCTTTCATCCGCAAATACGACACCGAACACGACTCATAAGAAGAGATAAAAGAATCACAAAGAGCGGGGTCAATCAAGATGGCAGAAACATCCAACAAAGATCTCGATTCCGAGACAGGAGCTGCGAAGCGCAAAGAAGCTACTGGACCCGATGTCTCAAACTCGGCGAAAAAGAGAAAGGTTTTGAAGACGGCCGCAAAACATGGGATGCTTCTGATGACGGTTAGATCGCCGAAGTGTAAACCTGGTGGTATGTTGTTGAATTGGCCGCCTGGTCGTGTTTCAATGTCTAAATCCAAGTCGGAGGACATTGAAGAGGAGGGAATGGGAGAAGTAGTTGACGCATTGAGTGAAGATGCGTGGGTTCCTGATACGCAATCGGATAAGGAGAAAGGAGAGAGGGTGAAGGGTGTTGGAAGTCCTTATATTGATAATAGACCCAAGCGAAAGACTACTATGACGCGGAAGAAATTGGAGACAAAAGCTAAGGAAGTCAAGCAAGCTGCAAGAAATTCAGGGCCGAAAACATCGAGACCAAAAGCAGATTCGGGGGATGTCGCATCTGAAGTTCAAGTTGTCATTTTTTCGGGAACGCCAGCTGAAAAAGAGGCTGCTCTTACTATTCCTGGAAGTGTAGAGCCAGCAACCGCTCCTGGAAGAGTTACGACGCCTAAGAAGTCTAAGACGTTGATTTTCAAGCTTCCTATTCGAGCTCGGCTTGATGAGAGACCACCAGCGACATCTGAGAAGAGCAGAAAAGAGGGGCTCATTACACCGACTCCAACCACCACGGAGACTCCTGAGCCCGAGAATGGAGTTCTCGCCCCGGATGATGATCTTTCTAAGGCTGAGGATTGGAAAAGCACAAAATTGATAGTTGCAGAGGCTCAAGCATCGGTTGCTGGAAAGAAGTCAATTCGACGAATCCAACCAACTCCTGTTACTGGCAATACACCACCTTCTTCGCCAAAAGTCAGACCAGCAGTGTTGAAGGCTTCTGCAGCAGATGTTTTGAGAGCGAGTCCATGCAGAGCAGGACCTCGGTCAGAAAATATATCAACACTATTGTTGCCAGAACATTCTTCTGGGAACAAGAGTTCTTACACATTTCTGAGAGACCACACTCCAGCAACTCCAGAGAGTACCGAGTCATCCTCGCAATTCTCATCGTCACCCTCCGCAAAGTCGGAAGTCTCGTCATATTCATCATCGTCTCGCAGAAAGCGATTCCCTCCATCCCACCTCCCAGGCGGTCTCGGAGTCAGAATCCACGGTAAGGCCTTCCCACGTGGTGTGACTGCCCCATCGTCGCAACAAATTCTCAACATTATCACACCAGCAGTACGAAGACGTCGTGTAACTCCATGGATTACTGACGAGAAGGCATCGGCTTTAGCCGAGGAGATTTTCGCTGCCAAAGCTTTAGTTGGGGGCAATGTATATGATGTCTTGAGAATGCCAGTATATCGAATCTGGGAGGAGCAACGACAGAATTACGAGAAGATTATGCATGTGTTGATGCAGGAGATGGCGGGTGGTGGGAAAGTAGTCCTTGGGTTTACGTGTAAGCAAGCATCTTTTCATGCTGAGTTGGGACGATGGGAGTGAATTTAATGTACAGTACTGACACATACTATAGATGTCAGACAGGCATGGTCGATAATCTCGGCCCCTGGGAGGAAGGCTGTTTATGACCAAAAACTTAAGGCACAGATTGCAGCAGAAGACACCGCAATAGTACCATCAATGTCTGGCCTTGGGCTCGTACTCGAAGGTCAACCTTTCACCCCCTCTTTTCATGAACTAGGTGACGAACGCGGCTCTGGGCTTGAGGACACAAAGTACATGGCATTCCGAGTCCATAAACCCCTCCGGATGCCACTCCACTCGCACATCTCCTTCTGGTCAGCCCTCGCTTACGTGCTTCGAGGGGACATGCAATTCTGGGAGTCCATCAAGGCCACAACATTGCGATTCTGGACTTCAGTCTTGGAATCAAAGAACCCTGCTCATCCTCAAAAAGCAGGATATGAAATTATTCGTGACTATGGAATTTCTCGCGGCGATGAGAGTTTGGACAATCAACTCAAAGGAGACCACAAGGTCACACCCGAGATGTGGCAAGTAACTGCAGACACATTCTCCGTTGAGCTCCTTACCATAATCAACAGTCCTCCCAATTCAAGAGAAAAGAGGATCAATACTCTCCCAGTCGTTCCTCGTGGCTCACACAATCGACAACAAATCCTTATTGTTTACCATCCGTTGTCGCGGTGCTATGAACCCGCATATCCGGTCAATAAGCAAGCTAGTGAGTGGAAGCACGAAAAACATATGCCCATTGATCGGGTAAATGCACCACAGGGTGAGGTGATCGAGAGGGCTGAAACGAAGAAGAGAGTGAGTGAAGAAAGACGTTGTCCATTCCTGGAGAGAGACTGGAGAGGGGCTTTGGTACGACCTGTGAAGAAGATGAAGGGGCATGAGGGAGAGATTGAGGCGCCAGGAGCTTTGATTGTTGGGGGGTCGTGGTGAGGTGGGACGGAATAAAGGAAGAAGGAATTTCGAGGGTGGGATTAACTAAGGAATGAGTGGATCTTCGTACTTGTAAATGCTAGCACGTTAAACTATATGCAAGGATCCGGAAGGAAACGTTTGTAGCACGGATTGTAATGAGAGGATGAAGTCTTTTTTTATGACCATCAGAGTTAGGGAAGGCGAGAATACAAACAAACAATGGGGAATTCAGATGATACGCTGCTAACATACTGTAATCTACAGAGTTATCAGAAGCGAGTCATCTATGTTCACTTGGTATGTTGAATTACAGCTTTGTAGATAATCCCGCGACCGCAGAAAACGAAGAGTTGAAGGCGATTGAGATTGTATTATCCCATAAACAGGACTTCCTAAAACGCACCACTAAAGTCATACCACCAACACCACAAACAATGTATAACCCAAGTCTTGAGAGTGCCCAACTCAAGTACCAAAATGCTCCCAAGAAATATGGGTAATGCTACTAGTATGGCTTGAAGAGACGTTGTAGTACTACGGTATCCCGAATCTACTACTAAACTAGATAACTAAATCGCAAATCGTAAAAGTTACTATTAAGGTTATTTTATAGGAAATCGTAAGTCGTAAATCGTAAAGTTGCTTAGGGTTAGGGTTATATACTAGCGCTAGAATTAAAGGTAAAACTACTCGATATAAGTAAATAAGCTTAAATTTAACTCGAACGCTCCTTCCCTCGAATTTAACCCGAATTCTCCTACTGTCGAATATAACTCGGACACTCCTTTAACTCCTCCTCTCGCCCTTACGCTCTACCCCGCCCCCCTTAACAAGGGTCTCTCCTAGCTAATAAATATACCTATATCCTCTCTTGTTATTATTATTACTATCGTTAATCGTTGTTGCTATTATTATCGCTATCGTTGTCGTAAAGAAAGAGAAGAGTAAGTAGGAGGGAGAGCGAGGGAAGGCAGGTAGTTAACAATTGTTAGTATAACACGTGCTAGCCTAGCTATTTTAGGAAGGTGGTATTCGAGGCTAGGATAAGCAATATACACGAAAATATTTCCCCGCTTCTGTCCTCTCCGCTACTCTCTCTCTCTCTCTTAAACAACATACTAGGGCGTAACCCTTTATACAACAGCGAGGGTACGACAGCAAGGGTAGCGAGTATACACGCGAAAATTTCAAGGCTATAAAGTTTAAGCGAGGGTAGGGGTATAGGGGTGTCGAGGTATAAGCGTTTAGTAACTTACAAAGATTATATATCTTTGATTTAAGTTTATACTATAATCCTGTCCCTTATCCTTGTTTAATTCTCTGTGAATAGCCTTTCTTTTTAATACCGGCGCTGTTATATAACCCTGACCCTAAGCTAATTCACGATTTGCGATTATGCTTCACAAACTGAGATTTGCCTCCACCTTCCTGGTCGTTAACAAAAATAGACTAGATCTTTGACTACTATTTAACAGTCATTTTCCTCTGGCGCTTTTCAGAGAACTTGAGGGTATGAGAGGGATATTATTCTCAGCTCCTTTTTCAAGGTATCCTGGTCAAACTCTTGAAATAAGGACTTGAGGAGCCTAGGATTTCAACTTTGAGATTTCCTATTGAGCTATAATTTCTGAAAACAAGCATTTATTTAAGAACTGTAATAACAAAAAGAAAAAAAATAAAGATTCGGTTATACTCGGGTATCGGTCAAGCTAAATCCGATTGGTCGGACCGACTTGCTCCGCGCTAACGGCAACTACTCGGTATATTAAAGAGAACGTAACCAAAGAGACCGAAAGTGGCTACTATAATCTTGCAATCCTAGATGCGATAACGAGGGGATAGGAAAGCAAAGGCACGGAGTACCTCGGAAGCAAATTTGATTTGTCCAAACATATAATATGGCGGAGCATATTTATTAGGGAACCGTCAAAATGACTCCCTCGCTTGTAGTAGAATAAAGCTCTTTCTTTCATAAAGTACTGTTCTTTTTGTGACGTAAAAGCTTCGAGGTCATTCTTTGTTATGTATACTTGTCGACTTCTCACAAAATGAAACATGGGAATAGAACAATACTTTGTGCTACCTATCGTGTGAACAACGAGTTCTCTTCTGTTATACTATGATATTTCTCTGTTCTAGCACATTGTCAATCTGAAAATCTTGCATTAATACTGTAGGTTACTGATTGAGAACAATTGAAATTGTCGTTCATAAAAGTATTTCCATGACTTGGTCTAAATCTTTTCTCTCCTCACGCTGCACACCACACAATTAACACACCTACACACACAGAAACCTCTACAGCTTTCAACCTTGAACATATAAAACCAAAAAACCAACCAAACAACAGTTTCAATATCAAAGATGTCTTTCATTATCAACAACACCAACTCTGTCATGGACTACGCCTCAATTCCAGCTGATAAGCTAATCACGAGTGAACTGAATGGTCAGTACGTCAGAGCCCAGTTATGCTTCAAGGAGGACAGCAACTCGTTGTCTCTCCTTCACTTGCTCAACAATAGCTACATGTACTTGGACGATAGTGTAATTCATGCACTCTCCCAATACTCCTCGATTGCCGAGGAGGTGGCAATCACCATCTTCCTCCCATTACTCGCCTCTCAACACTCTGGACTTAACGCCAAGCTCCCTATGTTTCTGAGCCGCACCGTCTCGACTCTTAACACCTTCACGAGCCTCAAGTCCTTGAAGATCGCCTTCGAACTTGATTCTGACACTTTCGAGTGGAACCAGTTCAAGCACGCGGCTGTCTTTTACGACTTGGAGTTTCAGGAATGGAAACTTTGGCTGAAAGTCGCTAAGGCGACCAAGGCTAAAGTATTCTACAAGGGTGAGAATACTCTTTGCGGATGGACTCAGATTCTTTCTGGGTCTCGCATGGAGCGCCGACTCTCAGGGCAATGGCGAGCTTGGAAGGTAGTTGAGGAGAAGAAGGCCTGAGGCGTAGAAGGAAACGCCAGCTACGGCTTAAGTATTATGTGAATAACCATCGAGAATGAGGATCTAAAATTCGTTATTTTCGGTAGTGAGTATTCGGAATACTGATACTGTATGCTGATATAAACCTCCAGAAATGTGCCAAAAGCCCTAACAGGAATCAGAATACTAAGTAAACACTTGCAGATAACTTTCTGCCTGAACTGTTTTACCTAAAGTTTCTTAGCAGGTTGACTGATTCTGCATTTACGTACGTGTGTACACTCTTTTGGTTGCCGTGTTTTTGCACTTTGGGGGTTATGCTAGGAAATAATTCATCCTGGCAAAAATACCGCCTCTCGAGTGCTTTTAGATATATATTCTTGTTAATAATAACAGACTTATAAATTCTTTTTACAAAATTCTTCCATTGATGAACTTGAAATATGTGGATTTTCATAATGATATTAGAGTCCCCCCAAGCCCTTGCCTTTGGTGGTAAACACTTACAACAGCAAATCCCACCCCCCTTCTTATGCACATTCGCCAAGTAGGAGGGTCTGGACTACTGAAGTAGTATGTAGTAGTATGAAAATGAATCCTAGCCTACTTGATAGCTTTAGAGAACTTTGGAATCGTTGTAGAAGGTTTGAAATGGTCTAAACCAAGTTCTCAACCACTGTGTCAAATGAGGCTGGTTTATTGACAGGGTGGATCACTCTTGATGAGAGAATGCATGCGTCTCCGTCTCTTGGATGATACAGTCCAGTATTGTGACACATTGGATTATAACAATTGGGAATTATGAAGACTGAGTGTGTTCACAAATCACTTCACTTCCGCTTAACACTTCACTTCCGTTAAGCGGAAGTGTGTGGCGTTTGTCTCATGCGGCCAATGATTAGATTGTTTTCAGCGTCGTTGGTGTCACCAAATATAAAGAGGGTTGCACTGCAGGATATTTACCCACTGTTAGTGATTGTCATTATCTAGAAGATCCAATTGGCTGGAAAGAGAACCTAGGGTCATTGTGCATGATACTGCATGTACTCTGCATCAGATATGCTCAAAATACTACACTGTGCGCCTGAGAAGTGAAGTCCCCCTTAAATATCTCTCACATCCCACTGTCCACCCATTCCACAATCATTCTAGCTCTGACCTCATTTCAGTACAGATTCACTTTCCCAATCAACAGCAATGGATCCTTTCGCAACAATCGGGTTTGCATCAAACCTCATTCTATTTCTAGATTATAGTGCAAAATTAGTCAACGGGGCGAGGGAGATTTACGATTCAGCATCAGGAATGACGGAAGACAACCGAAGGCTCGAATCTATCGTGACTATTATGGGGAATCTTTCTTCCAAGATTGTGCCCACTACTGATTCCCAAGAAAGTGAAGAGGATCAGGCCTTATGTCGCGTGGCGTCGGAGTGCAGCATTATAGAGAATCAAATTCTAGAATTAATTACGGAAATAAAACCGAAGGATTCCAAATCGAGGGGCCAGAGCACTTTGGCAGCTTTCAAAGGCAGGTTACGTCAAAGAGGGAGGGCAGAATTAGAGAAGAGACTAGCAAATTGCCGCAGCCAACTTGAATTACAGTTAAACCTCCTGAACAGGTGATATATGGCCTACTGTCACGAATCACGTGTTCACGTGATACTTGTCATAATAAGAGGCGCAACCCTCGACAGGCACATCCAGGTTTCTTATAGCAAATAGGGATCGTTTAGAATAGCTAAGCGATCCAATGATTTCTGTAGGTTACTGTCACGTGACATATATAGGTCGACTATCGATATTGTCGACTCCTAGAGTATAAAGGCTCTATATAAGACTAGTACTACTAGATAAGAGCTTCGTACTTAACTTAGTTATTAATCTTATAATATTAGTTTAATATCTTTAATACAAGTGACGAGTTTACTTCTAAGTGAACAACCCGATAGTTCTTCCTTCTTATCATAGTATACTAATTAGCGAACAATAGTTAAGCTTTAGTTAGCCGGATTAGTTATCGTTACACCTACTTCCCTAAGTACGGTATCCTGAATAAGTTATACTAAAAGGTCGAATAGACTTAATACTAATTCTTAAATCGCAAATCGTAAACTAGCTTAGGGTTAGGGTTATATAACAGCGCTAGAATTAAAGGTAAAACTACTTGATATAAGTAGATAAGCTTGAATTTAACTCGAATACTCCTTCCTACCCTTACTATTATGTCCTTACTATTATATCCTTACTATTATATCCTTACTATTATATCCTTACTATTATATCCTTACTATTATATCCTTACTATTATATCCTTACCATTATATCCTTACTATCGCTGTTATAAGGAAAAGAGAAGAGAGAGCAGGGAAGAGTAAGGAGCGCGGAGGTAGGTAGCAAACAATTGTTATTGTAACACGTACTAGCCTAGCCGCTTTAGGAAGGTAGTATTCGGGGCTAGGAATAAGCTATATATACAACTAAAATATTTCCCCGCTTCTATCTCTCTCTCTCTCTCGCGCGCGCGCTCTCTATCCCCTAAACAATATACTAGGGCACAACCCTATCCGACAGCAAGGATAAGATAGCAAGGATGCGATAGTAAGGATACGATAGTACGACTACGAGGGTCGGGCGATAGTAAGGATACGGCGACAGTAAGGGTGGGGCGACAGTGAGGATGCGGCGATAACTAATAGGTGGCGAGTTTATATAATCAGGCCCCAAGTACTTGGGGTGCGGGGTTATAGGCTCTCTGGCACAGTAGTAGCAAATATATGACTTTTGCGATTTGCGATTCATGAATTAGTTTTTACTCTATTCGGCCTTTTAGTACATTCAGGATGCCGTACCAAGGAAATGTGATACTAATTCGAGGTCCAGTTCAGAAACAAAAACTCGATTAGAAGTTTTGATTTCTTCATCCGATGGGCAAAGCGCAAAGCTCGAACAGCTCCAGAGCCAGATCAAGGAACTAAACAAAAGAATATCAAGCAACCTGAACCCCGGTGACGAGCAGAATTTTCCAAAATTGATGGAAATATCAGAGCATATAACATGTGTTATAGCCCAGAGGAGGATTTTGGAAAGTCTGTCATTTGAGGGCATTCATCAAAGATTCGACAATGTAGTTGATGCTCACGGAAAGACTTTCGAGTGGATCTTCGAATCTGATATGGAAAGAGAAATAGAACGTGGGGCTTCTGGGTCAGAGTCATTCATAACATGGTTGTCGTCTGGGGATGGGATATTTCACATTTCGGGAAAACCGGGGTCTGGCAAATCTTCCCTGATGAAATTCCTTTGCCAACATACTCAAACGAAAGAGTCCTTACATCGATGGGCAGGTGAGCAATCATTCGCCTCAAGGTAGCTCTGAGGACAATCCAGCTTACACACCTGACAAGGCGACCGTAAACTGATATTCTCCCGATTCTTCTTCTGGAAACCTGGCACGCCTGCACAAAGATCTCTGAATGGCTTTTCCAGAAAAATTCTTTTTGATATATTGAAACTGTGCCCTGAATTGATACAGGTGGCATTGCCTGATGAATGGAAGGTGGAGACCTTACTACCATGGCAGGATGAAAGACACCTTGAACTTACCGAAAAACAAGTCAAAGAATCCTTCATCAAAATCATCAAAGACGACAGCTTATACAGTCGTTATCGTTACTGTTACTTTATTGATGGCCTTGATGAATTCGAAGAAACGCACCAGGATGACTACAAATCTGTGGTAGAGACTCTCATAAGCTGGACCAAGGGATCACCTAGCAATGTCAAACTTTGCGTTTCTAGTAGAGAATACAACGTCTTCCTCCATGGGTTTTCAAAAGACAAAAGGATTCGACTACAGGATTTGACCAGGAGCGATATGGAGCACTACATTCGTGACAAACTCCCGATTCCCCGAGCCAGAGAACTGGAGAGCTTAACCAGTCAAATCGTCGAAAAAGGGAACGGAATGTTTCTCTGGGTCTCCTTGGTTGTTAGGGCACTTCGAGAACGCCAGGATGATGGCTATGAACAGCAAGAGCTTGAAAAAGAGTTGGATACATTACCAGAGGAGTTAGAGGGCTTGTTCTCACACTTGCTTATGTCACTAAACAGAACGTCCCGCACAAAAACATATCAGCTTTTTGCGATGGTTTTGGCTTCCAACCCGTTCGAAATTCGTTTATCCCCTCTAGCATGTTCTTTTCTGGAAGACTTTCTAAACAACCAGGATTTTGCTCTTGACTCCGACTTTCCATACGTCAACCTGGGTTCCACTGACAGGGTTAAGAGAACAGCACTCGCTGGCAAAAGAATAAACGGGAGTTGCAAAGGTTTACTGGAATCGGAGACGTGGGCCACCAAAGAAAACACACAGGGCGCAAAAAGTGAGAACATCACAACTGTTGAGTTCATTCATCGATCTATCCCGGAATTTCTCCAGACACCACGTATTGAGAAAGATATGAAATCTTATTTGCGTAACTTCATGACTGTTGAAACTGTATCGAATCTTTTACTTGCAGAGATTAGATCGACAGAATTACACAGTATTCCGAGGACGGAAATGTGTCTTCGTCTATTTCGCATCTTGTCGCTCCGAGAGAAGCACAACTCAGCGCCTTTTATCTACTTGAATCTTCTCTCGTCGTCAATCATGATGCATACAAAAGCTGAGGATCTGCAAGAAAAACATCTGCCAGGGGTTGTTCATTTAATCGCGGCTCCATGGGGGTAGGATTTACACACGGTTCTCCAGCCCATTATGCAAAAGTCCGTTACATAACATCGCCGCTCCTTGCGTCTGCGGTTCTTGGACACATAGATTTTGTGATGTGGAATTTGAAGAATGATAGAACCATTCTTGACTCGGATTATAACATATCCGCACTAATTTGCTGCTGCTTTGAGAAGACAAGTTGTGGAACATGTCCTAAATATTTTGAAGTACCTCAATTCTTTCTGGAGAATGGCATTTCCCCACAAGCTCTGATACATACGACATCTGCAACAAGTGGGCTCTCAGCAGTTCATGGGCCGTTGACCTTCTGGGTGCACTTCCTTCTCGGGGCTGTCTCCCGTGATATCTCCTTTGCTAAGCTAGAAACAACCCGCTTATTCGGAAAAACGATTGAAATGTTCCTTCGTCACGAAGCCAGCTGCCATATTTCTCTTTGTCTTGCAGGCAATGAGAAAATGACAGTTACTGAAATTGCACTCTTACAAAGAACACCAGATTTCTATAGAGGGGTAAACTTTGGTGACCGGGCACATTACGGTTCCAACGTGAAGCTCAACGCCGTCTTCAGGGCGGGCCAACAAAAGTATGCATTTATCGCGGCGGGACGAGTATATGAATATATAACTCGAAACGGAGGCAATTTATCATTTCGACAGTTGATTAAATCGTGGGATTTTGACAATAAGAAAGACATTCTTAAATTGGTGGACGGAAATCTTATCGAATTCGACAACGAGAACCTTGTAAAAAGTCGACCCAAAGTCAAGGAAGAATATTCTCTCCAGAACAATGGAGAAATTCCCCAATCCAAACACCCAGATGAAGCGAGGATAACGCCTGGGACTTCATCACAATCACTTGAAATAGGAAGTCGCTCCAGGTGGGATGGAAAGTCTGTTTTCAGTCACAGTCTTATGTTCTTGCTAGGTAAGTTTACCTTTGAAATGTGGGGTTAACAAGGCTTACCATCATCAATATAGGACTCGTCATCGCTATCACAATATCGCGACTGAAATGAGGTATAAATGATCATGGCACTTTATTGAAAGGTTCTAAGAAAAGAAAAGTTGGAGGAAGAGAGATAAACATGGTGAAATTAGCTATGGTTTGTTCCCGGTAATTTCTCCTGAGGAATATACGAAATTTGATTGGAAATTAACATCCATTATTCGCTTAGTATTAGCTGAGAAAGAAAGTGTGAGGTACAGACGTGGAGGAAGCGATGTGGCCCGTGCCCTTGGAACTGTAAATAGCCTCAGATCTTACGATCACTTCCACTCTTTGTAGACAATTTAGTTCTTACGCATACAGTTGACCTTGTCGCTATCGCACCCTTACAGAAAGCTTTGATACGTGAGCAGGAGTCGTGTGCAGACATTTCATATAAGGCGACGTTTTACAACAATCTTTAAGAGGTAAGTCGTCTTGCTTGTGTATTAAATCTTTGGTTGGATTTTAGGTCTTATCTGTTAGTATGTATTAAGGATGTGTTTTGCATACCGAGGGTTACGAAGCAAGCTCTCATATATCGTTTGATCCATGATTACTTGCTGATTCCACAACAACAACCACCTATAAGTAGTAAGATTGCTGTACGTACGCTTGCGTGTGGCAATCATCTTTGACACTCTCCACCATCCCCAATAAAACCACAAAATTTAGGTAGATATATAGGCCTTACTGGAGCGCCTCGTACCCTGGGCACCACTTGATGAGGTGCAAATAGCAAGTGCCCCAGAGGCTATTTGATCCGAATAATATATCCTCACTCGCCCTTGAATCTAAGTATAAGCAAACCTTTGTATTATGTTAAAGTAGATGTATTCACCTAACATTGGTAAGAATACGTATCCTTCCCTGTGCGAATTTTCCGTACATTTTGTTCTCTGTGACTCATGGAATATTCCAGATCGCGCTTGAGAGCATTAACAAGGATACTGCTTCGCCAAATATGGAAACTCCATTGTTTTTGTGACAGTGAAAGAGAACAATGTTTCATTCACCAGGAAAGGCTTCTAGTTCTCAAGTGCACTGGACCAATAAACAAGAGTAGTGAATTACTCCACGTGGCTTTCTGCTACTAACACTCCACGGGACCAGTGAATTCTGATTCGTTTGTTATGTGGCTTCAGGCACAGAGACACATTTTTTGTAGGTACAAATAATACACTCCTTTGCGCTGCAAACCCATCTTGTTCCTTCTACCAACATCATCTGTGAACATTCCCGTACCACCAGGTCATCCTCTTAGTACGTTCACGACCATCAAAAAGAATAAATACCTTCTCCTACCAGACATCCTTCTGGTAAATGTAACGAAAGCTCAAGGACAGGTTGGATAGTTAACATGCGGTAGCCCCAGATCAACAGAAATGGCACCAAGACAGCAGAAGACCAAGATGGGTCTTGCAGAGATTCTTGAAGGACCTGAGGGGAAAAAATTAGGTAGCGTCTTCGACATTCCTCTCTGTTATCGACCAGAGGTACCTGCTACCCCAAAACTACCACAGGGAAAGTTCACCCCATCCTTCTCGCTGCCAAATGGAGCTGGTCGGAATACTCAACAGCCCAAGGCGGTATTGAACGGCACACACAGAGCCATTACTGTTGAGAGTAACGGCAAGAAGTGCAGCAAGATCATCGTTGAGGTCAACTTCAAGGTATACAAGTTTCATCTCTACTAGCTCTGAGCTTCTATGTTTGGGCTATGGAAATACCAGTATCTCCTTTCTAAGACCCCTCCCAGCTTCCGAATAAAAGAGAAATAGATATTCTAATGTATCTTAGTGGGAGAGCCCAGTCTCTGTTCTTCGTGAGAATGGTCCGAATGACTGCAGAATTAGTTACGAAATCCTAGGTGCCCTTAAACAATACAAGGAGAGCGCCAATCGCGTCACCATTACGATCTTCTACCAACACGTTGATGAGGAAACTGAGATATTGAAGCGCGAACAAACTCTATATCTCAACAAGCTGGTAAATATCTTGAAGGATTTCAACATCTCATTCTTGAAGATCGCGATCTCTACCCAGACTGGCAAGGAGGAGTTCAGCCAAACAAAGGACTTTTCCTGCTTCTACCGCCTTCAGGTCCCTATCCGCGAGCTCTGGTTGAGCATCAAGGATAGCAAGGATTATAAGCAGATTTCCATGATGAGTCCTTTGGCCCGACGTATCGAGGGAGTGGTCAAGGCTAAGGCCAACAAGGTACAGGAGAGAAAGGAGCAGGCAGAGTCCGCTGCTGCTGCTGCGTCCAAGGCCAAGAAGGCGCGGGAGGAAAAGGGGGACAAGGAGAAGGGACAGACTTCTTCCGCAGCTGGTACCGGTAAAGCTGCCTCGAAGTAAATTCATTCTAGAGGTGTGAGTATTCTGGTGACGTGTAGGCTAAAGGGGAATCTATTTTGCCAGGAAATAATATTCTTTGCATGTTTCGGGTAATTTACTGAATGCAAGGTGTTAGGGAGGTACTTATTTCTAAGAAGTCTTTTGATCTGTAATTGTCATCATGTCATTTTTGTGCCCGTCCAGCTTGTTTCTGTGCTTCGAATCCTCATCTCATCAAAACCAAACAGCGTTATCTTACACCAAACTACTATGTACTCGTCTAGGAGTAGTATCAGCTGTTGTTTAATTTCTTAATCATAGCATAGTTTTGGTGACGGGAAATGCGCAACAATTTTCCGCCAAATAAAAAAGCTTACAACATTTTATTTTCACGAATAATTGCTGGTACTTACGAGTCCATCTATATACATTCGACCACAACATTACGATAAGGAGGTACCATGCCGAGGAAACCACTTGTAGAGTCCTCAGTGGGTGATGGCTACTAACAGTGCATATTTAGAAGTGTGCCGCCGAAGCAATGAAGTTAGAATTTACTCTAGTTTCCCACTTTGACAGAAGAGCCAGTAGACGAGAATAATTTAGATTGGCTTAGCATGTTTTTTAATTTTGTAAAATGCATACAACGAAATATACTCAAGAGCAATCAAAATTGGTAAATATCAGAGTCCTACCCTGTCAAGATCTTTGATCTTTAATAGACAATACGAGTATAGTAGATAATATAGGAAAGCCTATATTTTAATTCTTTTTGCAAAGATCCAAATCAGAGTTGCTATCTTCTCTAACTTAGACACGAACTAAAATAACCTCTTTTATGTAGGGAAGTATGTCAAACGTGAGAGATAATTGAATCACATGACTTTACGAAACCTCACGCAGGAAATGGCGATGGGAGTTTCAAAATTACACTGGATGTTAGTAGAAATGTGAGTCCATACTTTTCATTCACTCAGTCAATTGGAAGTACTGGAACTGAAAGTTTCATAAAGCCACACATCATGGACTTGGCCGCGGTCCCGCCGTAATCCAACTAAAGTACAGGAAAGGTTTCCAGCATGATTGCTACAATAATAAACAAATCCCGTCCTTCAAACACAGAATTTCGTGAATCTCCCAAGTCGGTGTTTTTTATTCTGGGAACCCGCCATCCAATCCCTCTGGGAAATCATCAGGCGCCCCGGGAACATCACAAATACAGCGTTCAGGGTTGCATCCTGATTTCTTAACTGGCTGCAATACACTGTTAACGTGCGATATTCTAAACAGCATTGTGACTCTACTTACATTGGGACTACACTCAGGTATACAAACAGTGGTCGCGTTGCATGTTGGTAATTGCATGGTGGCTCTTTCAAGAGCCATGCTGAGAGAGACGAACAACAGGATGATTGCGAAAAAGGCCTTCATGTTGTATAGAGCAGGGGAGGGGTTGATTGGTGGTAAAGAGGGTTGAGTTGATTTGAATAGTTGATAGTTGGTTGCTTAAGGAAAGAATTGAAGCATCTGGATCACCTTTCTTCTTATACCCGAGTACCAGATCTGTTATGATTAGTAACTTTGCCTATTGATAGATATTCTAATAGCCTATTTGGCTTGAAACGCGCATTCAGCGTACATGATACTATTCAAAGTCTTGTACGTTTTACGAATCCTGACTTGCGACGGGTACTATGGTACTCTGCCTCTTAGCAGCAGCCAAGGTTTGTGGGTGGAGAACAAAAACCACTTTTCCTGACCACTAAGAGACCAGCTTTCTACCAAAAAGGGGAGCTGCGGGTCATCTCAATGGTGCGTATCAACATCAAGTACATTCAAGCCAGTAAAGGCCTCAGTTGACACTGTTGCGTACTCCACTCTCCAAGCTCCTTCCAAGAGGCAGACCCCCACGGTAAAACGGAATCGATTAAATGGTAGCCACCTTAGCATAAATAATGCATGTATAAGCCTACACACTGACCACTACAAGGCTCCCTACACCTTCTCCACTACTAAAATACTATTAGAACACCCTATAATTTTTTCACTATTAGAAGTAGAAGATTAAGATAGGATGGTTAGGGTTGGGGTTAGGCTAGAGTTAGGGTTAGGGCTAGAAGTTGGGGTTAGTGGGATATGATTTTTGGTTGTTTTGTAGTATGAAGATCGCTAAGTGCCTACGTTTTGTGCCAGATATGCACAGGCCAAGTTGGCTACCATTTAATCGATTCAGGTAAAACAGTTGGCTTACCCGCTATCTGTTTCAGGCCAGTGCAGGCCAGTGCAGGCTCCGAGATTTGCCCCAACCCACCCATCCAATCGGAGAGCATAGAAACTGTTCAAATTACGTAATCCGTCCCACTGCATTGTGTCTACTTTGTCAAAGACTCTTTGTTAGCTAGTGTCACGAATCACGTGTCGGCACTTGATAAGTGAAGTCCAGGCGGCGCCCTGACAGGACAAGCACATCAATAGCTCTTATAGCAAAACAGGATTGGTTAGGATGGCTAACCGATCCAAGGATTTTATTTAGTTGCAGTCACGTGATATGATGCAGGTCAACTTGTAGCCCAGGCGATAAGTCGGTCGACAAAGTCGCTAGGCGATCAAGTCGACTTCAGAGAACGAAGGTTCTATACAACACTGGCACGTCTGCCATTACATAGGAGCTTCGTGCTCAACTTAGTTATCAACTTAGTTATCAATCTTATCATATTAGTTTGACATCTTTGATACAAGTAACGAGTTCACTTCCAAGTGAACAACCCGATAGTCTTCTTCTTATCATAGCATACCAACCAGCGAACACCCAGCCAAGTTTAGTTAGCCAGTTTGAGTATTCGTTACATAGTATTCTATATAAAAACACTATCGTTATTCTAAAAATAGTAGAAATCCTAACCCGTTTTGCTATAAGAGCTATTGATGTGCTTGTCCTGTCAGGGCGCCACCTGGACTTCACTTATCACGTGCCGACACGTGATTCGTGACACTAGCTAACAAAGAGTCTTTGACAAAGTAGACACAATGCAGTGGGACGGATTACGTAATTTGAACAGTTTCTAAGTTATTATGTCTACTTTGTTAAAGACTCTTTGTTAGCTAGCTATATATAAACTAGCTGCATCCATAGTAGAATAATCAAGCACTTAACCAGCTTCTCATTTACCATATTTTATCAGAAACAAGCGCATCCCTCGGTGCTAGGGTAGGGTGTGGTGTGGTGACGGGCCGGGATCGGATTCGGGCCGGGGTCTTAACATCTAGTCGTACAGTACTCCGTAGTACGAGTAGGAGTTGGGAGCATGGATCACAAGGATGCAGGTGGTGATATGTACTATACTACCAACCGGGTAGAGTACGAAGTATTACCTCCGGAATCAAATTCTGCATGTCCTTCGGGACAGTGAATGGCGCGGTGGATACAGTACAAATGACACTACACCTAAAAGCTGTGAAGCACTGAAGCCCAAGGTAGAATTACGTGGTACCTAGATAATAAAAAGCTTCCAGCTTGTAAGCTGTGAGTTGATTGGTCTCAGGCAAATCGTTCTCCTTCATGACTTTGCACATGGATAGGTCTGGTAACATCCCGCCATGAACGTCATGAGGAGTTTAAACTTTAGTGAGGGACAACATTGTCTGCCCGCGATTTGAGAGAAAATAAGATTACTGCCACTTCAACATTGGTCAGCAAGTGGCTCATCTCTGAAGATTCATCACCCGACTAAGACAAAAATGCCCTCAGCTGTTCCGACGGATGATTTACCAAAATGGGAGCGACCAGCGCCGACCAAATTTGATCTGCCATGGGCAGAGGTCGTTGTGATTGATCTGTCAACATTTGATGAACCAGGCGGAAAGGAAAAGTTAGTAGAAGAACTTCGATATGCTGTAGGTAGCCTTTCCGAGAACGCGAGCTATCTGATGGATATCTCAGGTGCAATCGACTGGATTCTTCGGCCTTACCGGTACCGGATTCACTGAGGAAGAGGTGACGAGACAACACAGTATTGGTCAAGCGTTCTTCAATCTGCCAAAAGAGGAGAGGGATAAGCCTGAACTGAGGTGCGACTTTGAGAAGGGAAGTTTCTTCGGATTTCGTGCTGTGAGTTTCGGTCTAGGAATAGAGCCTCCCTTGCTGATAAGAGACAGTCTGGTGAGAGGAAGTTGATGGGAACAGAGATATGCGATAACGTCGAAAGTGTAAGTTTCTGCCCGAATGATTAAAATCGACATAATTAATAGGGTCGTAGTGGAACTTTCCCAAATACATACCAGATCTAGCACATGAAGCACGCCACAGTTTCTTCAAAAAATACGATGCAGAAATTGAGGAATTCTCCTGTGTAAGAATAGAATTCCTCTGATTCTTCAAGCAAAAAATGCTAAACTCACTATAGCGATCTCTCGACCTAGCTGCCAAAATATTCACACTCTTCGCGATAATTCTCCAACTCCCCCACGACTATTTCTCCTCGAAACACGAGTACTCCTCAAAGTCCGAAGATCATCTTCGGTATATGATTTATCGTCCCCGCTCCGCATCTCAAGACGCATTAGTAGACAATTCGTGGTCTAGCGCGCACACAGATTTTGGTTCCTTGACTCTTCTATGGAGCCAGAACGTCGCAGGTTTGCAAATACAAACCAGAGAAGGAGATTGGAAATACGTACCGCCAGTTGACGGGGGTATAATTTGCAACGTGGGAGATGCGATGCAATTCTGGTCTGCGGGTTACTTGAAATCCACGACGCATCGAGTTATCAGACCTCCTCCTGATCAAGACCATATCCATCGATTAGGTTTATTTTACTTTGTGAGACCCGGGAATGAGGTCGATGTCGCTCCTGCTCCATCACCGTTATTGGAGAGACTTGGTTTGATAAAGTCAAGTCAGGATGGAGATACTCGACAGAAGGTGACGGGCAGGCAGTTTGTGAGGGAAAGGGTGAGAAACTATTTCTGTGCTCAGACCAACTAACCAGGATCGGAATGGAAAGAAATTCAAAGTTGGTGATCTGGAGATTGAAGAGGAAGCTGTGTAAATAGGTTGTGTGATATAGGGTTGGGCAACATAGTACCAAAGTATTTCCAGCCCACAGTACTGTACTCGAGTAGTCAAGTTGTGAAGTTCATCAAGCAGCAGCTGGAGAAAGACCGAGGGGGTGGCGCATTGTGGTGGTGCTCATCGTCTGAAAGGCCCATATTTCGGAATCGATTAAATGGTACTCATGCACAATATTATGAATATATAACTACGGAACCCACCCACACTACCCTGTCACGAATCACGTGTTAGCATGTGACGAGTGAAGACCAGGCGGCGTCCTGACAGGTTAAGCACTATCATGCTCTTATAGCGAATAGAGATCGGCTAGACTAGCTAAGCGATCCAAGGATTTCATTATAGTCACGTGACGGATCTTTGGATCTGGATGGATCTTGGGGATCCTAGGATCCAACCAGATCCATGAGCAAGAAGGTTCTATATAACACTGGCATGTCTGCCATTAGATAGGAGCTTCGTGCTCAACTTAGTTATCAATCTTATCATATTAGTTTGACATCTTTGATACAAGTAACGAGTTCACTTCCAAGTGAACAACCCGATAGTCTTCTTCTTATCATAGCATACCAACCAGCGAACACCCAGCCAAGTTTAGTTAGCCAGTTTGAGTATTCGTTACACCTAGCGCGGCTGTTATATAATTACATTACTTGTGGGTACGGGGCGATATTTCGCCGATTCCGATGGAGACATATCCAAAAAGGGTTTAGTGCGGTGGTTAAGTGTGAGCTAGGGTGAGTGGGGCACGTCGTTGTGTCAGGGTATCACTAGGAGCGTACAAAAGACTGTTCCAGAATATGGTTGAGATTGATCGCGAGTTAGCTAAGAAGTCCTAGAGCTAGCTATTACTTATACGCAACAAGAGGCCACGCTATTCTCCATTAGGCAGCTCCATACTATCTTTGATTAGGCAACTCCAACCCACTATTGCATTCACTAAGCGAAGCACCAAAACACTATACCGAGCCACATTCACGCCCTCACGCGTTGTGCACTGTATAAGTTATGCGTGCATGAGTATCATTTAATCGATTCCCATATTTCGAGTTTTCTGTCTCAATTACACTGTAAGAACTTTATTGATTATCATACCGGTACTTCGATATTGCATTCTAAATGCTCATTATTTCACAGGAAATATTTCGCCAGCTTTTGAATGGACCTTTGTCCAAGTTTGTGAATTTCGTAATTTGACCACGGCGTTTCTCGAGAGTCGACTACAAGCTAGGCTATATTTTTGTATTTGGTCTCCTAGTTTCTGTAGCATATAACTCCCTCGTTATTCTACGTTTTATATTCACTTACGTACTTGACATAGATATTCTGAGCCTACTGGTTTTGTTGTTCTAGGACATTCGAAAAGTTTCTTGATCTATTCATTTTAAAGACCCTAGTTAAACTGCAAATTCCCCTGGCAAGACAGAACAACGCGGGGTATCCTGCTCAACTTTTGGTGTCCACTGCTAACCATTTCTCAAGCTAAGGTCGGCAGTATCAAACCGTCCGTTTTCTACGAGTAGGATGATTCGATGATGGTCGGCGATAGCATGATCATGGAAGCGCCGAGGAAGTGGATCCGAAGGATTATATGTGGGGTTGGTACATGTACCCAGCCCCGGAACCTGTTCATCAGGATTTGTTTTGAAACCATCGCACATTATAGCTTGATCAAAATAAAGTTAAATCCTTCCATGGCTCTCAAGCGAATAGTTGCTTGGGTACATTGACATATTTTCTTCACGATATATCTATTTGGGGGAATTTGACAGCATCATCGCAACTTTAACTTTGACCCTCCCCGCCGATCGATACTTTTATAGGAAGCTAATGGCGGGGTGGTTGATGAGCCTCAAGTTCAGGATTGGAAAAGAGACTCGGTGACAGTATTTGCCCCTCACACGGTCGTTTGTGTGGAACTTGCCATTGAGATCAGTGACAAGAAAAGCCCTTCATTTGTTTCCAAGGTTTGTAACCACATGGTATGGGTTCCTACTCATGATCCTCTTTCTCCGAAAATGTCTATAAGAAAGATGACCAAGGACTTCGAAGTTACCTTCTTGCCATCCGTACATCATCACATTATTCTTTCTCTACTCTTTTCCTTGGTACATCTCTTGGTCGTCATTTTTACATTCTTCTGTACATATACGAAGTAAGCAATCCATTTCGAGTTCCAAGATTATCATTCTATCATTTTCTTTACGCTCGTGATGTTCAACTCCATGCTCAAAGCAACTCTGTTCGCCGCTCTTCTCTCAACATGCAGCGGGCTCAAATGGGGAGAAATCAAACCTTACAAGGACGCTCAGTGTAAAGAAGAATTGAAATTCAGTTTCAAAGAGGACCCTCTGGACAAAGGCCAAAATTTTAAGCTAGGAAAAGGTGTAGGAGCACCGGAAGTTGGAAACAAATGGAAGGTATACAAGGACACAAAGTTTGAAAATGCAGCAGCGCCCAACGGCGGAGTGGGAAACTGGGTATATTGGGATACTGGACCAATTCCAAGCAAATGCAGCGTTGTTTTCATGCAGCCATATGCCGGCAACGTTGCAACTGGAGCCATGGCAAAAGGCCAAGCACCTGGAAATGTTGTTCTGACTACTAGTAATAGTGGATGTTACTTCACACAGATACCTGTAAGTCTTCTTATACTTTTCCTTAAGGTGTCTCGTTGTTTAACAGTATACTGATATCTTATAATTCAGGTCGCCTCTACCTTCTACGCAACCTTCTGCTGTGGTACTCAGTGTGATCACTACAAAGGGGATGCACCAGACGGCGCTGCGAAGCCTAAGAAACGTTCTGACATTCCTGTCATGTCTCAGGAAGATGCTTCAGCCATCGCTGCAAAGGTAAGCAATTCAGCTCCCAGATACATCAATAAACCACGACCAATTCAAAAATGAAGGATACCTTCGTTGAAGCTACCATCTCAACCAGAAACTCCGGATCTCTTGCAGCACGCGCAGTTGAAGTAATGGGAAAGCGTGGGGCATGTGCCTCTACCGATAAAGCATGTGCGGACAAGGTCTGGGCTGGTTGCAAAATTGAAAATGGACAATCACGTCTCACTGCAGGTCTACAAGTCGCAGTAAGCAACATCCAAAGTGCACAAGCGGGACCTGGAGTCACTGGTAGCTCGATATCCTCCAGTCTTTCGTTCACGATCGGAACCTCGACATCAGTTTCCACCACCACATCTTTCTCATCCACTCAAGGTCTCTCAATGACAGTCACAGAAGGTGTCACTTTTCCTGTGGAAGCTCAGGTTGCTGTTGCTGCGTCAGTATCGTTCACTGAAGGTCTGGATAAAACTACTGGTCATGATAGCAGCAAGAGCAAGCAAGTGAGTGTTACTTATACTATGGGTATGGTACCTGGAACCTCTGGTTTCATGAGCTTTACTCCTTACTATGATTGTTACAGTCCAGTAATTTCTTGTGGAAGTCAGAAGACTTGGGGGGCTATTGATGTGTGCTACCCACATCTTCTTGGAGATGGAACTCCTAAGGGAGAGTACACGATTGTAGTCACATGGTTATGAGAGTTTTGGGGTACATATTGTAGAATGAGAACATTGGAGAAAGGAAGAGATGACTTGTACAGTAGCTGGGGCGAACTTTGATTAGGGGACTTAAGATTTGGCATTATTTCAGTTGAATACTAGAAATTATATATGTAGCCAAGACGCTCATCACCTCCAACATGAAGCTCCTTCTTTGGTTACAATGTATTGCATATTAGTGATGAATAATACAAATCATAGTAAGCATGCCATAGCCACTATAAGGTAGTTGTGTGACGATTTTGATTTGTGTATAGTGAATGTGGTTTTAGTCACGTGAGCCACGAGGCGACGAGCTCAACTTCAAATAGCTTCAGGTCCTGGGACCTCTTTCGCTCCTCGTAGTCAATTTAATCTATCAACCTGTATTGTCCTAGACGTGCATTCTCACAAGTTGCTGGAAACATAGCAAAGGTTTGGGTGATGGAATCGCAGTCTAAGCCAACAGGGATGCGCTTTAGGAAGTATAGACAGTCTGAGCCTGAAAATTACTTTCAGTTTAATCCAATAACACGTTGCCTCAAGTTTCGTGCACAATACAGTATTGTCTGAACAAATACCACCAACCTAAGTACCTTAATACATATATTGGGATATTTCACTAACTAAACTTCTTTTATTAAACCTTGATTCACTATTGCTAGAAACTTAAGTATAAAATAAAAGCTTCTTCAGGCGTGACATGATAATGTAGTTAGAAGTAGTAGTAGTAGTAGTAGTAGTAGTAGTAGTAGTAGTAGTAGTAGTAGTAGTAGTAGTATTTGTCACGGATGCCAACAAAGGATAAAGTGTATACAGCTTTTGAATCAATTGCTAGAACTAAAACCGTAGGTACGAAGAAATCAAACTAAAGAGAGAAGAGAATCTGAAAGGAGCGAAGTTATTTAAGTTGTTCCAATGCCAAGTCTCGTCACGTGCTTGGCCAAGCGAATGAAATCCTGTCAAATGAAATCCAGCTCCGTCACAGTATTTTTACGCCAGTAGGGCGGAGCACCAGATCAAGCTGGATTTCCTAAGGCCTCCCGAGGGGCATAGAGGCGTACTAAGCTATAGATTTTATATACAATATCCTACTCTATTTAGCTAAAAACGAAGTTAGCTAAAAAGACCTCCTAGAGTAAGCCCGAGTCCCTGATCCTGAGGTGTTACAGTACTATTATAGACTAGAGAAAGCATTTTATACGTAAAGCTGTAGCTAAAAAAGTTTGTCGAGTATCCCCCTCTACGCCGGTCAGGAAGAGAACAGTTGTTTTATACCCTAAGCGGGGGTAAGATAAATTAGGGACGAATTAAGCCCTAACGCTAGAGTCTATAGCCTAGAGCCTAGATACTCGAACGAAATTAAAAGTTCTTTAGACAGCTCTAGACTATAGTAAGTACCCTAGTCTTTTCCCTAAGGGTTGAAAGTCGGGTTTGCAGAGCCTTAAGTAAGGGTACCTACCCTAGTCGGGAGTCTTGGCACACATAGAGGGGCAATTATCGAAATAGCCTTAAAACCCCGAAATAACCCTTTCACAGCCTTTCCCCCCCCTTCTATCCTATCTCTCTCTCCTATCACCTATATACTCCCCCTCACCTCTCGAGTGTGCCCTCCCTACCCCTCTAAATATAGCTTCTGCCGCCTTTCCTCCCTAGCCAGGGGGTATGTATAGTATCGTAGATGTATATAAGAGACTAGCTCGGCAGGGAATCGTAGCAGTGACGGACGAGTGAATAAGGTAACAATCGAGGACTATAGAGATAGGAGTCAAAAAGAGGTAGTGTTATAGCCGCTGCCAAAAGTCGAGAATCGTCGGTTTTCGTAATAGAAAATCTCTCTAGTACACAAGTACGATAAACTCGCGACGGTGGCACTCAATATTAGCTCTCTAGACTAGGGTATCAAGCCCTAGCCAAAGGTTCGTAGGATGCACCGCGTACAGGTGTTAAGTCGTTGCATCCCTAGTTAGAAGTAGTAAGAACTCAGTTAATTCTATGGCCCTGCGTTTAAACAATAACTACACTCTCTTCACTCTTTATTTGCTGGGTTTAAGCTAGTATTCACGGTAGTATTGTTATGGAAGCCAGGTTAGCGCTAGCCTGCTACGAACATGGCTACAAATAACACACCTGTGACTGGTAACCTTGGGTTCCTCCCAACATATCCAAAGTCTCTTTACACTTCAAGACAAATCCTCAATGCAAATCTTTTTCCCACACCGTGCAGGATCTTAAACAATACTGCACCTTTCAACAGCCAATATCCAACTTCCACTTGAGATCATTCTATCTGCACCCCTCAAAATTGAGCAGCACTCTGCTGGAGAGCTGGAGGGTGGAATCACATCTTATCCAGGTTAGAGATAAACTCCAATATCCTATTTTCTTTACCCTGTTTTGTAAATTTTCTTCTTCAAGCAGTGGCTAATTATTTTGCGATAGAGCACCATGACGCAACCCGAGTTTCGGTGATGGAGAACACATCGATGAGTAGCACAAACACAAAGAATACGATAGCAGAGGACTCGGCCGCATATAATGCAGGACCCATGATTTCCACTTCAGATATCAACGGACCTGCAAATTCCGAACCTGAAATTCCTGAGAAGCTTCTTATGTGTGTTGATGGAACTACCTATCTCACCAGTGGTGGAGTTGATGATATCGGAGAAGTTCATAACACTGATCCTATATGGTATAATCCAGGTACGTGGTATAAAGCAATTTCTGAAGCGACGTCTTCTAACATTATCACCAGATGAGTGGGACATTGTGTCAACACCAACCTTCGCATCTGGAAGACCATGCCACAGCGTCAAAACACCTTTGAATCTTTTGTTAGGTTACCAAGGGCTCAGACAAATCTTTTGGCCCAAACCTGCAGAAGAGCCGAAAGAGTTCCATCCCTTTGCACGCCTGCCAAAAGAATTGCGACTCGAGATCTGGAAGGCTGCGTTTCCACCATCAAGACTTGTTTACCTTATGCAATACTGGCATTATTCTGGGTCACCAAAGCATATTCGGCTATGGTTCCAAAAATCAATGGGAGTGGTGGGACTAGTGAGGTGAGCTATTCAGTGTCTGTTAGTTAATATGAATACAACCATGAAATCCCTATATTTCTTTTGCCTCAAAACAATTCGTGAATCGAAAATTCAAGTTGAACTTATGCCCATATCCTGAACTCTACACTATCATATATTTTGAAGACAAATTTTGATTCTTGGAACCATTCGTGGTAGAATTAAACGAACACTTATCAGAATGCATTTATGTTTCGATTTCGGAAATAGTATGGCATCTTCGAATTTATTTCTCGGGCTTCAGAGACCTAGAGGCCATCTCACGGGCTTTGACCTGAGTTTTCTCACTCGCTTAATACGGAACTCCTTCGCGAAAGGGTCTCGCTAGATTTATGGAACTCGGACCCTCGATTTGATAGTAGAAATTACACTACCGGACCTCTCCGAGACTACTTTGGATAGTCGAGGAAAGAGAACACCGGTGCTGTGAGATGGAATTCCTCGATCGAGTATGAACTCGTGCATCTCGATGTGCATGTGGGTAACAGTTGCGTATCACGTGGTTATCCGTATCCTGGGTCTAGGATTAATTCCTTGTTGAACTTCTGGGTCCCTCGCTTGCATGGAGTATGCATGGCACAAGTTGAGGTGGTATTTTTCTACTTGAGACGACCTCTTTGGTGATCTCGATCACCTTCATAGACTGATTTTATAAACCCTTGATACAGTATCAACGCATCGCAACGGCGTGAATACAGCAAATGGGTAAGGTAGCATCACTACATGGCAACATAATGCTACCTCACTATCGCCGTACATAAATCCTCCACAGATATCCGGATGGATGATTCCCCCATGTCACCACTACGGTTCCGACGGGGTCGTCGTGTTCGGGTGGGTCATTTTGTCCCTAGCCAAGTGATGAGAAAAACGTGGTCGCCTTGAACCAGTATTTATTTCGAGATCAAGGTTCTGATGTCACTTTATCATAGCCACCCACAGTTTACCATCCGGGCCACTCTTTCATAGTTTCTTGATCCTTTTGAGGGCTGTTGGGTTTAAGTGACAAAGGAACGCGCAGAAGTGACTTGACCATTCAACGTCCAAGTTGCCAACCAATGCAAGTTCAGCTCTCGTTCATCGTAACTGCAGGTCAAAATTCCACACAATACAAGCCGTTATATGGCGAATGTCATGCATAAACGGTTGCCAAAGACAAAAGTGAGCGGCGCAGCTCTGCTGAATATGTTTACCAATTTGGCCACCAACTCCGTACCCGCTGACGGTCGAAGGCCTCGAAGAGCTTGAAATTTCAGTTGGATATTAAGCTTGCTTTACCACGCTTCGGTGAGGTCAAACTATGCAGTGCACGTAGTACATATGCATGGTAAGCTACAGTATTCCCTTTAACTCGTGAATATTCGAGCACGTTGTTGTGTTGGTATGTTTTACGTACAGAAGAATGCTCATCTCTATTCCAAACCCCACCGTTTATCCGATATTTTTCTCAACATACGTACTGCAAGCTCCACTTGAGCACCAATCCTTAAATGACATGGTAGCCCTGCCAAGATTCCAACTGGTTGTCCCCAAGCATAGTTACTATACGCCACCAGGCTATCAAAGATCAAAACTAAGCGCCCAACCCGCTTACAGGGGTTCAGGCCTGGTCTCATCACGTTTCTTCAATGCCCTCATGACCCACTTTTGAAATTCGTGTCACCACAAGCGAACGCTAATATCGCCAGCTCGGTTACAGATTCACTTCGTCTCCCTTTTCTGCCACTGAGATCCCTGGAGTACTCACTCATTACAACAGTAATTGCCTGTACCAGTGTGTCGGATCTTATACTCACCCAGAACACCCTTTCGAATGTTCGCATCGGCGATGGTTACCTCCATGCGTGACGAGCACATGGCTCTCGGAAGATACCCTAATTGTGAACCATTTTGTTACACAACCTTCAATTATAAGACGCAATGGACTTCAACGTACAGGTAACTTCACAGATATGGTATCAGATTGCGGGATGGCCATGTGATTCCTTCATGTAATGGGAAGGAGGTGATTGGGATTTGACTCTCCCTGGTTATCTTTTTCATTAAAATAATCTCGCTTCGTATTGTGTCCAGTCACCGTGTTTGTGCGGAGAAGCTTCGTCAAATAGTGCTGCGATGTACTCAAGGGTGTAGAGCAGAGGACGAGTCACTTGTGAGAACGCATTCTGGATATCGCCCTTTTCTTCCTCACCGCCTATCACTCAGTTGTCGGTTAAGAGTTTTCCGATGCAGTCGGGTCATTATCCTTCTACTCGGTGCCAACATCGAGATTCTAGAGACTACCTCAATACTCGAGTACCTTTTGACACTGGCGGTCTAGCTGACTCGGGTCTGTTCTCGGCCCCCTCACCTCTTCTAGTCTTCGCAGCATTTTTTGTGTCTGAGATTAGTGAGACATGGAAATATAAAGACACGTGACTATTCTTAGATGCGGGCGGAAGTTTGGGCTTGAGGACGTCAAGGCCCATTTCCCGAGACAGTTGGGATCTTTGATACAATTGTGTTTCCCTCGTCTATACTAAGGTTAAAGATTCCTAAGCAAGATATGCATTTTTCAGATCTCGGCATAACCATTTCAATGTCTGGTAACTGCATTGACATCCACGGATCGATGGTTCAGACAGCGAGACCTAGAATGTTGTAGTACAGACAAGCGGTCGAAGGTGGTGACTATCCGTTCGTCATACTAGAGTCTCTAATAGTAAAAAGGCATTAGCGAACTACAATTCTATATTTTTCGAACTAGCACTCCTTGCCATAATAGCATACCTCTCAAACACATCCAACACTGTATTCTATTCAATTCTCTTCAACAACTCCGCACTCCCAACTCCTCCCGCCCTCGTTTCTGATCCAAGTGTAAAACTAGGATGCTGTACGCCCTAACCCCAAAACAAAAAGGAAAAGTAATCGCATCCCTCCATTGCATCCCAACCCCACCAAAATATCCCGCCAGCCTCCTTCTCTACAACCAAAAACCAGAAATCTCAACCAGAACTCCAACCTCTAATGAACCCACAAGCAGTCATTATCATACTATCTCTCAAATGTCTACGTCATTGTTCACAAGAATCCTTCCAAGCACCCACTCCATTACAACCCTCCAGGCTCCGATCCTCCCACCTTCCCTTTCAAATCAAAGTCACCTCCATTACTCCCAACCCCCAAACATCAGACCCGTCTTTACGCCTCTAAATTTACTGCTTGTCGTTTCTAAGATGAAGAACCGGAGCTAAGATCCCGCCCATGCTACCCAGATTAAGGTCGCCGCATTGATGATATCCAATGGAAAATCAGCCCTAAAAAGCGACGGGAAGGGCGTCCTGTACTCGGTGAACATCACAGTTTGGAGTGGCTGAAATTCATCAACGTATTTTCCAGCCTTTTCCAATTGTTCCACTTCTGATTCCCCAACGAGAAGTGTGAGAGGGAAGTGACTTTATTGAAGATCTTGTTGTCCGTTTATCTACCCTATATAACCCAAAAGACATAAGTTGTGAAATTTCAGAATTCGCCCTTTGCAGGGTATCCCAATGAGTCAGCTGTCGAAGAAAGAACATAGAAAACGTATATGAAAATGAACCCAGTACTCAACCAAGAACCAGGCCGTGGAAGAAGCAGAATCTAAAACTCGAGCTTCGCAGCGTCCCTTCGCACCCCTTGTTCGAAAGCACCATCCAAATAAAAACTATGTATATGTATCAAGCCGACTCCTTCCTCACCTCAGTAAAATCCTTCGAGTTCCTTCGTCCCCCAACCTCCCGCAAAGCCTTCTTCCTTTCCGTCTTCCTTAACTCATCAAAGACTCTCTGCTTCTCCTCTTGATAGATAGCCTGCTGCGTACTATTCTCCTCCTCAGCTCGCTCGTGAAGCTCGTCTATTGTGACGGTGCTAACACCACTCATCATGGACGGGACAGAGGAAGAAATAGAAGAATGACGATGAGATAGATCACGAGGGTGGATTGGTGGTGAGGAATTTATTAAGTTCGGATGATGTAGATTCCCCGTCGAGGGAGGAGAAGATGTCGAGAGAGAAGATCCTGTTCCCGGTCTTAGAGGGAGTCTTTGATTAGCCTGCTGTACCGCGTGAAGAGGATGTGTAGATGGAAGCTGGGTATCATAGTAGTTCGTTGCTCGAGTGGACATAGTGTCCGAAGGGTATGATTTATGATGCTCCAAAACCGGCGAATAATTATACATAGGATATGTTGAAGGTGGACAAGAAGAAGGATAGGCATGGTGTTGTCGCGCGCCGAATTCATAATCGTGCTTGAAAGGGTATCGACCAGCTTCTTCGAAATCCGGGTGGATCTCATACCATTTCTTTTCCACGGCATCTTTCGTCCAATTTTCGGTGGATCCGTGGTTGGCCATATCGCGTGCGATGTTGGACCATTTGTTCTTCTCATAGTTTTGCATAGCAATAAGTAAAGCCCGTTCCTAGTGGGGGTATTAGTGATGGTGTCGGGACAAACATCAGGAAGGGGGGGAACAGGGAAGACAACGGGATAAGTAAGGCTCCGGTACCTCAACTTCAGGCCATGTTTCTTCATTTAAGTTAGCAAAGAGTTCGTCTCCCTAGTTGAATCGACTTGGAAAAGTAAAGATGGGCAAGCTTACTCATTTTTTCCAACTGAAGAGAGAAGAATGCGAGTTAGTTTGTCTGTTGCGGAAATTTGGAGACAGTGTATTCTACTAGGGAAAGAAAATGGGAATATATACCAGGCGTTTCTTTCGCATTTGCAAACTGCACATAACATATTAGTATTGCAGATCCTAAACTCAATAACTCGGAAGGTTTTGTGAAATGGTTGCTTACGCTGGAACCTTCAGTCCCTTGCCCATCTTCTCATTAAACACACTTGCAACCTCCTTCCAAGGTAAATGTTCCTTGCGATCCGTAAGTTGGAGGAGAAGGCTTTCTTCTACAGTAAGATCTACCGAGAGTGTATCCGGATCTATGCAATTATCAGGAGACTTGCGTTTCCGAGGCCCATTGGAACGAAGGGTATTGAAGTTATCCCGATGGTGAAATGACATCGGGGTTCTTGGGGTAGAGGATTGCGAATAAGTCGAACTTATGGAGTTCTGTCGATACACTCCTCCTGAGTCTTTGCGGAGCGTTGCAGGGTTTGGAGCGATCAAAATGGGCGTTTGATGTGTTCTATAGACACTTTGGGGCGTAAGTTGACGTGATTCTCGACTTTCGTTGCTGAACCCGCCCAAAGAGTTAAGATCCGGACTTTGATGAGGTTGGATGGATGGCAGTGATGAAATAGAAGTGCTTCCAGATGGTGTATTGTTCGTTGCCGAAACTCCATAAGATCCAAAGTATGGGGTTTCACAAATCCAGGGAGATCCGGTAAAGCCACTATCAGGACTTGCTATTTGGAGGTTTGAATCTTTGAACTTCATCGGCTCGTTGAATTTGGGGCCCCCGTAACCATCGTCGTCATGAAACTGCGAAAAGACAGGCAACTGGTGTGACGGCGATAACTTGACCGAGTTTTCTCTGTGTATTACAGGAGAAGCTGTTCTCTGCATATATGGAGATGATGGCGTAATCAGGTTGGTATTGTAAGCCGCTGGCATATTACAAGATGCAACCTATGGGGATGTTAGTTATGATGGAGAAAGAGTACCTCGATCCCCCTAAGTAATAAGTTTGAAAACATACTGCACTGGATGGTGTTTCAGGGTTGTTGTTAATGTTGTGATTATGACGAAGATTTCGTGCCGGTTGGGTGTTGTAGGTATTCTCAGCGTTGGGAGGCATTTTGGTGGCCGTGCTTTGGATATAAACTAGTGACTTGGACCACAGTCCGACCAAAACTTGTGTGAGGGGCTGCGAAAGAACAACAGTGAAGTGAAGTTTGATAACAGTTGGTGCAGGTGCGTGCCTCTTTAACGTACGTTGATGATCAACGTCAGCTTAATGCGTTGGTGTTGCTCAAAGGGTCAAGTATGGTGATGGTGTTTCCAGAGGTGATGGAAAGCATGAAATGATATTCAAAGACAACGTCGGTTGGAGAAGTGAAATCTGCCTGACAATGGATTGCGGTCAAAGAATATATATGCGAATGAGGGCCCGAGAGGAGGTTCATGCCTGTCTGAGCCTTGCACCTATAGGGTGGAAAAATATATCTCAATTTAGCGGGACCCCAAGCCTAGAAGAGATAAAGCTAGGAAGGCCGCTCCGTATTGTGAGGTAGGGGTTTATGGGAGTGGACTCTGGGAAATCTGAATGGACTGGACTGTAGGCAGTATTCCTGTCCCGCAAGGGTCGTGAGAGAAGCATGACAAAAGACACAGCCAGGGTGGTCTTCAAAACGGCCTTAGTAGGCTGAGATGCTAGTTAGGTTTCGCCTGTAAGGGTGGCAAGTGCAGGAGGGGGTGTGATGGGGAAGGATCAGACGAGGGTACTTTGGGTGCCGGAGGATATGGTGACCACCCTTGCCAAAGCATTCCCTTGCCCTTTTCCTGGATGATCTTGAATGCATCGTGTAACCGCCGTCTTGCGCTCCTGGGAACCGAACTCGAACGGTACCTCTGATGCTCAGACAGAGAGCTCCGTCAAGATTGAACTACAGAGCTACTTCACTTGTGCAAAGACCGGGTTAGAAAAGTGCAAGATCTAATTTGATCTCTTTTCTCAAACTTCTTTCGAGGTCTGTAGCACCAACTTAAATTTATGAATTGCTTGGATACGATTAGCGAGGGCATTAAGTTCAAACCAAAGATGGACGTTGATGAAAATGTGGAGCAATAGGGCAATCCTCCTCCAGAGCCAGAACAGTGTGAACAGTGGACAGTGCTGAGCTGGATCGCTGGGAAATAACAGACGAGCCCCCAAGAGAGCGATGTATAGCAATGGGCAAAAAGTGAACAACCACTGTGGTCAGTCTGCGGTAGATGATAGGGAAAGGCCAGCCCTTGTGTGCCGGGGCATAGGGATCTGCTATTCGCAACATCGCCGGAATCCACTTCCATATGGGCCGTGCAACCCCACTGCTCATGTACATATGCCCCCAGCGGAGTATCCACGGATATCTGGATCACGACTGTGGCCTTACGGAGATCGCGGTGCCACTGCTGCTATTGGCAGCTTGTTTTGAGGGAGGTTGCTCTAGTCAATCGAAGTAGCGAGGACAAAGAACTTCCAACTATCCAGAAGGTCTTCTGCTCGAAGTTGGGGACCATGATAGCAAAAGAAGGCACTCCGTACTCGGTAGCTGTGCGATTGTTCTTGATAGTGGACTGCTGGGTTGGATCACGGCAGCAAATTGGCATGCTGGTGAAGATGCGAGGCAGCTATTCCCTGCGAGCTTCTGGTCAGCCCTGCTTGACTCGTCCAGGACTCGTCTATTTTTCCCGGCGCATGGGGGGTTTCTCAACGGCTTCTGCCCTAAATATGCGCCCCAGGCGCCAAATGTTTGTTACGATGGCGAATGTTGCCAGACTGTTGGTTGCATTGAGGCTTTCGGTCTAAGTCTAAGGGGTGAGGAGTGCACTAGATACCACAGCCGAGGCGGGCGGCGGGAATCAAGACGGTTTCGGACGGCTCGGGCTCCATCAGCTCCTCTCGGAAGAACGGATTGACTGCCGTCTGAAGATCTTCATTGGCCGAAGCGCCTATGCGGGAGCAGACCTGGCTCCGTAATGTTTATTTCCCCTCACAGTCACTTCATGTCGCAATATCATATGCGAGAGGCGGAATTGAAGTGCTCATCTCAGCATCGCGGCTGCTTAGCCAGTCAAACGAGCTCGGCATCGTTTGTTAGTTCTCGGTCAGAAGCGAATCGGAGACGCCAACAAAGTCATAATAGTATCCAGTGCCCAAGCGAAGTGCCGAGCCTACAACAAAAGACTCATAAATGATTCCGAGGATCTCCGAGAGGGGACAGGATAGGACAAGATACGCTCGAGGGCCTAAAGAGGCCGCCTGTGAAGTACCAGTAACTCGCCACGTCACAGACAGCTGAAGGCTACGTCCGGCCCATCGACATCACGTCTCAGGGTAAAAGTAGGCATCGTAGGCACGGTAGCACTCAAAGATTGAGCATTCATGGAAACTTTGCTATCCGGGGGATCAGCAGAAGCAAAATCATCAGATGCCCATTAGACAAACCCTAAATCAGGCGTTTTTTAATCATGGGGGGGTGGGCGAGTGCATGAGAAGGCTGCATCTGCTACCATAATTCTCGCTTCTCGTTGGTTGGAAATCATGGAGGGCGGGCGACAGCGGGTGATATCGAGGACAAGATCAGAGGAATGATTGTACAGTTTTCCCACTCAATAAGGGCATTGAATAGAAAGGACTTTGGATTTCATGGTCGAACGGGGGTTAGGCAGGCAACCTTCCCATGCGGCTCCCATGCTGTACTGTAGTGCAACCCTGATCAGAAGCAGACGAGGGGATACATGAGCATGTCAAGAGAGGAGAACGAGGGGCCAAAGTGGGGCTGCATATGATAGACAGGGCTTTAAATGGATCTCAGGGTTCTTGAGGGGCCGGCATTCTAGCCCCGCGGGGATCAGCCACTAAGGTGGCTGTTAGTGACACTCCCCGCCAAAATGGAAAATCGACTTTTGCGTGCGACCACCACTAAAACTCGATATATCTACGTAATAACGAGTTGTCACATATGCGATAGCACTTATATATAAATAGTTAATTAGGGCTACCTATAGATAATAAAATTATATTAATACGACTAATACGTATAGTCTAGTCGGTCGATTTACCTACCTCTTTAACCGCCTATTTTCGAAGAACCTTACTCCCGAGGTACGAGGGGTCCTAGTTACGTGCCTAAGATATTCTAATATAATTAAAGTCTATTTTATAAGGTAGGTACTCTATATAAATAAATAACTTGAAAACTATTTTTTATTAAAAGACTACTAGCTAAATCTAGAGGTTATAATAGTAAACTAATAAAAGAAATTACTTAATATTTCTAAAAGTAATATTAATTCTTTTATTAAATATTATCATAAATACCTAGTATTTACTCTTTATATAGGTAATTACCCTTAGTACTATATTATATAGTACTATATATATCTATATTAGTTATTTCTACTTCGAATTCTTAAGTTTTTAATTTATTAATTTATTATATTTTAACTTATATAAGTTAATAGATAACTTAATCTACTATATAAAAGTTACTTATATATTTAATAAGTATTAGGGTATATACTTTATATAGAGAGATACTTATCTAAAATAATCTTTAGATACGTAACTAAGTTCGTGGTCGTATTAGGTACGTAGGTACGTAGGTATATAGGTAGCTCGTACTACGTAAGTGTTCGACGATAAATCGACCGACTATACTACGCGTATTAGTCGTACTTATATAATTTTATTATCTACAGATAGTCCTAATTGACTGTTTCTATTAAGTCAACTAACTAAGTATCCTAAAGCGTTGTTACGCTAATGTATCGATATCTAGTAATTCGTGGGCGCAAAGTTGTAAAAACGTGTTTTTCCATTTTGGCGGGGAGTGTCACTAACGGCCACCTTAAGCCACAGGACAGCTAGAGACTCAAGCTTCGCTACGATGGAATCCCTCGGCAAGAATGAAAGGGAATTCCTTTGCCTCTATACGGAAAGTCCACAAATCTCGACCCAGAACTCTGTTCACGAGCGCTTATCTGCGTCTTTAATTGTACTCATCATGCCTTTTCCAAGGAACTTGAGATTCCGACGAACTGGTAAGTCTGATTGCTACGCAGCAATCAGTTTTGTCACCCGGAAACCGCCGTAGTTGAGTATGAATCGCGTCGAGCAATGAGGGTAATTTTTTTGTTGACATTGTCATGGTCGTTAAGCAGAAAGTGTGTGAGAACTCTGAGCTCGGCTGTTGCAATGAAGGTTCCCCGTCCCCTTTCCTCCAATCTTTGGTCACGGCAGCCCACCGTTTCGGCAATCGGCATGGGAATGCAGCAAAGCCCTAGAGTAACAGGAACCAAAACGATAAGGTGATATGGACCATCGGAAGAGGTCAATCTGCGTGACAGACCAGAGAGTGGTCCGCGGGACTCACTCATTTTGGCATCTGTGCAGTAGCAATGGCAGTGAACCCCCTCCAGCCCCCNGTTCGCCGAACCGACCCAGCAACCAGAGTCTCGGGTCGAAGTGATACAAGCTCTGCCCAAGAGAACGAATGAGCAAAGCCCAAAGGGCAGGGGTAAGTACGAATGGGGGGGGCGCCGCAGCCCTGTGAGCCTATCATCATTAGCCGCGGGCGTTTGGCCGGGTGCTGTTGTAAATCTCGGTCACAGCTGCATGGCCAAGTCCACAAGCGAAAATCGATCGCTTCTGACAGGCTGGAAAAATGCACAGCATGCCATCAGAAGCCTGCAACGGCTTGCAAAGTGCCAAAATCAACTGCCTCTTCGAGCCCCCAGCCCAATCGCCGAGGAACAGGCATTTGACATCCTTACACACCGAGTACGTTTGATAATTCCTGAATTAGGCCAAAGCTGCATCGTTGACCACGACGACAGACTCAAAAAAACAAGCAAGATCCGCACGCCGGAGAAAGTAGAGATATAACCTCACTGGACAGGAAGCCGTATGATACGAGTCGAATGCATCGATGTCTTCACCGAACCACTTGCTTGGGAATCTTTCGAGAAACACGTCACTTGTACACACCCGCAATCGATCCACTCAGATACCTCAACTTCGCAAGAGATCTCAATTTGGCAAAATAATTGTATCCAGGAAATGGGAAGTCTACTCGGCCTGAGCAGTTCCACGCTCCTTCTCCCACTCTCGGTTCAATTGGACCAGGAAGAGGTCTCAAATCGTCATATGCAATAGCACGTCTTGAGCAATTTTCGGGAGTTGTTCTGGCAGGTAGTGATGGATTGTGCTTGCCACGAATTTCTATAATTGGTAACCATAGGCGGCAGTATGGAGTAAAGCAGACGATAAACAGACACCGCATAGCACCGACGTAGTATTTGATTTTCGACCTGGTTTTTTTGGATTGAAGTCGCCCTGGTCGGGTTACAGTAAGGCAGAAGTTGATCAGAAGACGAAGACCGCCTTCAAGTCAAGCACCCATCAATCCATTCCTTCAACCCAGTGGAAATCCTACCACCCTCTGCGGCGTGCTCGTTTGGTAAACCGAGGTGACTTACATCCCTCCAGGCTAACGAATAACAACAATATTGGTACCGAATGTACAAAGAGATTCTCGAAGGGAACGTCCTTAGTCTAATGTCGTTGGTGGTTGGCTCACAAAGAGTGGTCCTCGGTAGCGCTGCTGACAGCGGCTCTCTCTCTCTTGCAGCAAGGTTGAAGCCCAGGGCAATGGTCATCCCTCCATTACGGCCACCACAAACTTAGATTGGGGGTCAAGGCCTTGTGTAGTGCATGACAACAGCGTGGTCAGCACGCCGCAGTATTTGAGGGGACTCGTAGAGGCTGGTTGGTGGCACATTCGTTCACACAACGAGATCTTTGGAAATTCGGTCTTAGTTCGATGAGTCTATCAGTTTAAGCGCTCTTGAATCTCGATCGCGGCACCTGGGGGCCCCCTCATCGAATCAAAAATGGGGGCCTTTGTAAAGGCAAAGTGGATACGTATTCTAGACCCCCGTATGGAAAAGAAGACGGATGTGTATTCCGGCGTGGATCGTAGATCGTGGTGTCCATATATCAAGGCAACTCTCATCAGTTAGACCTGGAATGCATTTTCAACCTTGATGAATGTCGTCTTTCAAAGACCCACAGTTTTTAAATAGTGCATCCGGCATTATCTGCTCCATTATCTGTGGAGATATCACCCATGTAGGATGATGTCCGAAGAAACCCAGGTTTTGAGGGGAAGGACTGCCAGTCTCAACCATGTCTACCATCCGCCCCCTGGTGTGACAGTACCGTGAAGTCTTGCAGCCGAACACCAGTGCGACATGAGCTCGAAACGCTAATGCAGGCGCTTCTCTGATAAAGATAGTCCCTATTGATTTGTAGAATCTGAATCTTCGAGATATTAAGCATGCTAAGCACCATGATCTGGAAACGTTAATTTTCTTTCCCGGGAGAGGTACTCGGATTCTATGACCCTAGATCAGTAGCATGAAGATTAGTGCGTTGTAAGCGCCAGAAGACCCATTGGACAAACTTCCAGCGGGAAATAATTGTGTACTTGCAATCTTTATCCGTTCCTGTCCTTGTTGGTGTGGAAACCCATCTAGCACTGCTTGAGAGACAAATACCAGAGCCACTGGGAAGTACCTCCCACGTATCAAGTACTAAGGCTCCCATGTGCCAACAAACGAACGAAATTCGCTTCGACCTCCTCTCTCCAGAGAGGGTCTTGGTGATGCATAGAAGGATTGCAGATTGTGATGATGTGCATCTATGACTGTTACTTGTTGGTTGGGTTCACATCTTCACCGGGTACTGTCCAGAAAGTCCACGTTGATGCGGATGATGAGGAGCCCATCATGGCCGCGAGCCCAGTTGTTTCAAAATTTGCCGTAAGGCTGCTTTGGCCGGCGACGTGAAGGGAACCAAAGTCGAAATTGCAAGGCGCTGTGCCTTACTATCCAGTGTCCACGTCATGAATAGGCACTCACACTTCGTCGATTTCACCTAGCTAAACCCAGAATATCCTTAACCATACATGAGGTTGTACAACACAAAGTCTTTTCAAGTCCGGAAACTTTACCACACGAGAACTGAGGGTCAGTCAATCCCATGCTGGGGTGAGTAGGATCACAAACCTCGTGGTTAGTGGATACCATCTCCATGATGGCATTCCAACATCACCAGGATCTTAGAAATAGCGGCAACGAGCTCGAAGCGACGGCGTCCAAAATCTGATGGGCGAGTTAGAAATCGAAAAGACGAGGGGTGTGATCTTGGTTTTCTGTCCAGTCTTTCCAAGGGAGATGGAGGTCCCAGTAAAATTGCACATGACAACAGGAATTCAAGTTCCAGTGACGGTGGAATGGAATAATGACTTGCCTGTTTCGTCTATCATTCTTCCAATGTGACACTGCAATAGCCTCCTGGCCTCGTTCCATTTCCACTCTTCCATGTGGGCAGGCGGTACATTGTTGTTTGTCTGCACGGCAAATTGAAAACCACGTTTCTGATCCTCGTAAGCATGTTTCCTCGTGCCTGTTGACCAACACCAACAACCGGACCCATAAAGAATTAGACACTGCTTGCAGCAATGCCTATTTCTTTGCTACAATGCAACCCTGTACGGACAGGCACAATTTATCCAGTTAGCAATGCCGTCACGATAATTGGCGTTCTGGTACACCGGACGGTGATAGAAAGAACTCCAGTCACAAAGGAAAATGCGGTCTGGTGTAGCAAATGATACTCAGAAGTTCTATTCGCGCCATGTGGGTGTTGCCGGCTCAGGGACTGTACGCGCTGAGTTGTTGGTGGCTGTTTCCATTGCGTCGAGGGAAGGAGCGTCGCCCCAAATCAACATCATCATCATGACCAAGGCCCACTCCATTTCTTCAACTATGATGGATGGTCATAGGTAAGTTGGTTGTCGCTCTGACCTGTGGACTGCCACGTTTTCGCGCAGTTTTGCGGATTCTTCCAACGACTTTCGCCACGAAGCCGACAGTTGCAACTACAACCTGAGTGAGTGGTGGTACCAACTTCAAAGAAGATTAAATATGAGGATTACTCCTCCTCCAGGAATGCAGGCACTGCGATCCTAAAGTGTCACTAGAGCCAACAAATCGTCTCGCTCAAACCCTTTGGCATTGATCAGGCACATTTCTCGCTGCAAACGTCGTCCAAGGCTCAAATCAAGGTAGGCAATCAGGACCAAAACCAGCAGATTGCTAACATATTCTTAGGAAGATGCTGTCAATGTCGAGCATCAAGAATGTTGGTCCTAGTTGGCCGCGTACAAGCAAAATCGAAGTGTGGACACATTCCTTCTTTCCAACAAAGAAGTTTTCGGTCCCAAAATCACCATCTAAACCGCCTCTGCTTGGTTGAATCAACTCTGTTTGGGATGCAAGACTTGCGACCTAGGTGGCGATCAGAACGCTGGAGTAGCAACGAACTAGTCGAGCTAGATGAAACGCAAGGTGAATGTAGACAGATATTCTTGACGTTGGCCTGGCAGACGCGCGAAGAATTAGTTGATAGGAGACCAATATACAAGGATACAAGCATACAAGAAACATTGTTCAAGAGATCTAAGGAGTACTGAATGGTCGGAAAAGCTCGAGGCTGTAGATGCGCATGATTCATCGGAAAATGTGCGCAGAGCACGACTGCCGTCTGTCCACTTTAAGCAACCTCGCGTGCTAGCACACAATTGCGTGTCGTGTATTTTATTTCTCAACTAGCAGCTACAACCGTTGAATATACAAAGCAGACAGGCTCGCTCTGGCCAAGTGTTAACATCGGAGACCCTGGAAAAGTGAACGGAGAACTTACAGCAGTCAATCGGTCCCACCAATGCCCAATTTAAGTCCGCTGTGTGGCCTACGAGTGGTCCAGGTTTCCAGCAGATGGCGTCGGTCGACATTTTGCCGTGGAATCTGCTACCTGCCTTCCAGTCGCGTCATCAGCTCGCATTTGATTCACTGCGCTGCGTAGATTTTCAACGATCAAGCGCGTTTGAAATAGGGGAATGTTCCGAGAATTTTCCACGCCAGAGTTATGCTGTAAAGTTTCTGCATCCTCCGTGTCGCCAAATCCAAACCCAATTCCGGTTCCTCTTACTCAACACCAAGATAACACTTGAGGGAAAGCACACTTCTATATAGATCCAAGCAGCCCCCAACGCTTCATCATGGATTAATAATACACAGCCTTCTCAATCCCATTGAAAAGCCCCAACTTCCGACTCGCACTCTTCCTTCCAAGATTCCCGCATAGTCGCCACTCCCCACGAGGCAGAATGTCGAAAGTGGGCTGACTGACGCACTAGTCATCGCGGGATAAGCAAAGAAGCTGAGAAGTTGAGGAATTGGATGCAAGACGGCAAAAGACGTAAAATCATTTCTGTGTCTGTTTTCTACTCATGAGATGGTTATATCTTGAAACATTTAAGCGCACGCTCCCCCAAGATCTTAAGTATAGAATACAGTTATTCATCAGTAGAAAATCTATCAAAAAAGCCCAGTCTTATTTTTGAAAGTTGTACCAGATTCTATTCGACTATCACTTTTGACTAGCCATCACTCAAACCAAGTTCTGATTCTTTCAGTCGTCACATTATCACGTATTGATAACCTTTTCTTCGGCCTAATAATTAGTTCCTCCAAACGGCAACTTTCACTATAATTGCACTCAAAGTAACAATGATTTGCGTCAAAGGCAACTTAATTATAGTAAAGCAGACGGAACAACTAAATCTAGTGCATGGCCGGTAATTCAACGGCTCACAACTGAGTAGCTATGTCCTGTTGTTACCCTGACTCGACTAAATCCGAATCCTGGCTGGCCTCGTCTGGAAGATGCCCATATGCAGAACTCTCCCAATTAAATCTTTTCAACGAGTTGTTATCCGGTCTATCAGAATGCCTCGAAGCTTCCGTTCTCCTCGTCAAGAGATAGACTGAAATGCTTTATCCACATTAAGAACTATCCGAGTCCGCAGAGACTGTGCAACGCCTTGATTACGTAGGAAGTTGTGAAATATCACAGTGCTTCACGCGTAGGAGATTCGCATATTAACGTCCTTTAGGTCATTCTACAAAAGTAGAAGCGATAGCTTACCAGTCAATTCTTTGCCACTTTTCAGAATTTACCGTCGAAGTGTAAAATCTTTCGGGTGTCATTGCTTGCCGAGCGGATGAAAGAGATTGATGTTGAAATTATATCTAAGTCCTCTATTCACCATACCGCTTGAGAATACCTCAAACTATAAATATTGCGATTTCAAATAGTCTTTCACTTTGTCGATTTTCAGCTTCTTGAGAAGCAATTATGCTATCAAGTTTAGGGTTGGGCTATCCAATTTTAGATAATGTAATTATAATTGATTTTTCTCTAAATTATAATAATTAAAGATTTAGGTTTTAATATTAGATCTTAGAAATGAATATTAGGTAACTTATATAAAGTAGTAAATAAGGGGTATAAGGGTAGACTAGTTTTACTAGAAAACACTATTAAAAATATATATAAAAGAGTACTTAATTCAAAGAATTAACTCTGATCTTCCTCGTCCTTACTTAAGTTATTAATCTTAATATCACTAACTTATTATCTTTATCCTTATTATCTTCTTCCTTTATTTTTATAAGCGCTCTTTTAAGTTCAACAAGCTTCTCTTTAGAGACCTTATGTGACGGTTATGGTCACGAGGGCTGGATGTCACATGCTCGCTTAGCGAGGCGCTAGCGCGCACGACCTGTATTTAGTTCCCAGCTCTCTCGAGCTCTCCTTCTTTCCTCGTCTTTTGTCCTAAGAATAGAGTGTTAATTGTTCTGAGTTCTACCTGAAGCACGTCTGTCACAT